TATTTGCTGGGGCCCCTGGCTTGAAACATGCGAGTCTCCCTTTCCCAGCCAAGTCAAGTGGGCCTAGGAGGCTGTGCCCCCTGAAGAGCCAGAGGCTGTGGTCCCATCATCCTCTCTCCTTTGTCTTCCTCCCTCATCTCCAAGCCTGGATGAACAGTCTGCAGCCTGAGTGACTCAAACACCTTGCTGGGCCACACCTGTTTCAGGGTCTAGCCCCGACCCTCCTTGATCTGTCCACTGGCTGCCTATTGGAATAATGTAGATGGTCTTGTTGACTCGGTGTTTGTCAGGCAAGGGAGACCACGGTGGGATACCCATATTCTGGGCACACTTGGGGAGGAGGAAAGCTGGAGAGCAGAATGAACTAACCAGAGAGTCTGAAGGCACTGAGGCAGCCTCGCCATGGGGAAGCACCAGAGGCAGAGAAGGGCCCAGCTCAACCACAGACCCCTGGTGCAAGCCCTGGTCTTAGGGCTGAGACTCTTCCCAGGCAGGGAAGGCTAAATGCCCAGAAGTCAAGAGGGTGCCTTGCCCTCTGTCCTCAGGCTGGCTGGGCAGGCCTGGCTTCAGCTAGCTGGGGTCCAATTCTGTAACATTCCTCTTGTGGGTCATTCTCTTGATTCTGCTGATTCAAGGGCTCAGGCAGTAAAGGGGCATGGAGATGGCATCCATTGGGCTGGGCTATTTCAAGCACGGAAGGTCTGCTGCAAGGCTGCTCCAGTTTGCAAAGTTTCTGGCCCACAGAGGTGCTTAATTGCTCCTTTCTCCCCCCAAGGGGCCCATGGCATGCTGGTAGGGGTGCTGGTGACTCTGGCCGTGCTTGTCCTACTGATCGGCGTGACCTTCATTCTCTACAAGCGTCGGATGCTGCCCCCTTTGCAGAAGAGGTGAGAACGGTCCAGGGTGTAGATTCTTGCTGGCTGCCCTGGCCCAGTGGGTCTGGCTCCGGGGAGGAGGAATGTTCTCTGGGTCTGTCTGCAAGGAAACACGGCACCTTGAAAGCACTGCTGAGTACTGGCAGTGTGTGGAGGTGGGAGGGAGGCCAGCAGTCTGGTGACAGGCATGATCATGGGCATACTGGGGGATGCATTAAGGTTTGCCTTATAGTCATCCATCATCTTGAAGGAGCCGTGAACAACCCTGAGGGGGAGTGGCTTCAGCCTCATTTTTCTGAGGAGGAAAGTCATGCTCAGAGGGGTTAGTGACTTGCTCGTGGTCATACAGCTTGCAGTCCCAGAAAGAGGGTTTGATCTTGGGTCTCTTCCGACACTGAGTTCTGTATTCCCTATTCCCTCCCCACACGAGAGCCCGCCCTCCCCAGCTGCTGATGGGAATCATTTGCTCTCAATAATGGGAGTTCACATTGAGCCCAGCACACCAGGGTTTTCACCCAGGAACAGCATGGGGATTCCAGCCTTGTACCAGCTGGCACGGGGAGGGAGGGGCAGTCCCAGGACGTTTGGCTCCAGTTTAGCCTACCCCTTTCCCCTGACTTTCTGAAGGGGTCTATGCTTTGTGGGAGTTGTGGCTTTGTGGCGTGGACACACGCCACGAGCAGACGGGCTCAGCTCTTTCATGTCAGGGACACTGCCAATACCTGGCAATCCCCAGTAACATAGTGGGTGACTTTGGATAAGCCATGTCCCTTCACTGAGTCCCAGCTTCCTCATCTGTAAAATGGAAATGATTTCCCAGCTCACCTTTCAGCAGTGGTTCTGAGGGGCCTAGCAGGAGGGGAATGTGTAAGGGTGACCTGGCGCGCACGCGTGTGTGTGTGTGTGTGCGTGTGTACGCATGCGCACAAAGGGAGGATGCCTGTTTGCTCAGAGCCCCTGGCCTTCCACTCCCCCTGCTCACCCCAAGCATCCTGGCACCCAAATGCAGTTGATCTGTCCACTCACCCCGTTTTCACCCTTTGCCTCCCTCAGGAAAATTGCAACAGAAACCCCTTCTGGCCTCTCCAACCCCCTGTTCCACGAAGGTGGCTGCAGGGCACCAGGACTGGTCTCTACTGCATCGGCTGCCCAGCACCCTAAATCCCGGTCTGCTCTGGTTGTCCCTGGACAGCCACCCCCTGCGGTGAGTACACCAGTGACAGAGCATGGCCAGCCTACTGTGAGCAGCCTTAGGAATGGCCATCCTTGCAGGTTTCCCGCAGAGAGCTCCAGTTGTGCTGGGTGCCTTGCAGATGAGCCATGATAAAGGTCCAGGCCAGGGAGGACCTCTTGCACTCACTCTCCCTTCTACAAGGATGGGCCATTGTTGTCATGGCCCCTGACCTCCTGGTGCAGGGATAACTTGGACACTGAGCTTCCTCCCAGGAGAGAGATCCTCTGAATCCAGGCATAATCATGTGCTACCCAAGCACAGACCAGCCGAGCTTTCCACTGGCCAACTGGGCCTTTTGAGCAGACACATTTTAACCCTGCCTTCTGTGGCTTCACAGCCTCCTGCAGCAGCTGGACCCCAGGCACCCTTCAGAGTGCCAGTGTACACCAGGCAGGCCCCTCAGCAGGTAAGCCGTGGCCTGGCAACTACACTTTCTGATGGGATCTGGGGGGACCTGCTTTATGGTAGAGGGAGCCAGAGTGTCCCAGCCTTCCTCTAAGAGAGCCATGTCGAGCTCCATTTTGGGGGAGGTGGAGGGGAGCTATATATGTGGAAGGACTCAGGGGGCAGAGCCATGTCCAATTCCCTGGGAAAGAGAAATGATCCAGTGATTCCTGGGTCCTCGGGAGGGCTCCCAAAGAGGTGAAAGGACTTGATTTGACCCTGGGCCTTTGCCTTCAAACCCCATGCTCTCCCAAAGACTTCCCTGAGGTATCCCCTCTCTGGGCCTTTGTGGACATTCTCCATGAGCCACCAGCCCACCTTGTGATGCTTAACAGCTCTAGACGTGGTTAGCCCCTGCAGTCCAGGTTGGGGGCAAAGCCAGCAGCTAAAGTTCCCATGGGCTGAGCTGTCCTTGGCCCCCCACTGCTCAGGGTAGCTCACGCTTACCTGTCTCCTCTTCCTCTCCCTTTCAGAGCAAGCCTGCGCCTCCCAGCAAGCCACTGCCAGAGCTGAAACCTAAGCAGGTGAGGCAGCTCTGGGGTCAAGGAGAGCACTCCCCTGAACTGTCTTGCCCCTCTTGGACACCTCACATCCAAGGACAGCTACATCCTCCACTCTCTGTCCCTAAACTGAGCCCACAGTCTCAGGCTTTCTACCTTCTAAGAAGCAGGGGAGCAACCCTGCCCATTCTGACTGATCCATGTCACCCTGTTTCGTTCATGTCTTCTTTCTGACACATACTTCCTGTCCTCATGTTGGGGGGCGAGGAACCATACAAGAAGCAGCCTCTGACATCTCACTCCAAGGCATCTCAAGCCGGGCCACTGGACACCAGGCCCATAGCTTCCTCTTCTTTCTGCCCCACCGAGGAAGGAGGAGGGAAGTGGTATTAACCCAGCCCAACCTGAGTTTGGGGGTGTCCTGCAGCTCTGTGGTTCCCACCCTTAGAGGTGAGGGGCCGACACCTCACCCATCTGCCTGAAGTCCTTGGCTAGCTGGTTTGTAGGGCTGGATCCATCCTATGGTGGTAGGTCAACAGGCCCATCCCCATTTCAAAAAGCACACCCCTTCCTTACTGTGATTGGCTCTACCATAGTCCTTGTTGAGCTGGGGTGCTGGGGGCTATCTGGGGGAGCTAGAGAGCAGGGCTAGGCCTGGGAAATGTGATGAGAGTATGTGTGATCTGACTGTGCCTTTCAGGTGGTCAAGCCAACTTCTGGTCCTCCACCACCACCTGTAAAACCTCCAGCTGTGACTACCTCAAAGCCCCAGGTAAGATGCTCTTGGGAGGGTTAGCTCAGGGCATCTGTGCCCCTGCAGAGTCTCGGCTAGCTTTTAAAAATCATGCCTATGGAGGGTGCTGTCCAGGTCTCACCTTTGTGCTTAAGAACTCACCTGGAATGACAGGTGCATTCTGTGTCTGCTGCTGCCCTTGTGAATCTGGGTTTCCGTCTGCGCCCCTGCAAGGCCTTTTATCTCAGGAAAGTGAAAGCCTGGTTTGACCCTGGGTCATCACTGTGTCCATGGGGCCTAATATTGGGGTACCTAGTTATCAGCTTGTGGGGGAGTAAGCTCCCTAACACGCTTTCCAAGATAGTACCTTTTCCTTCTCTAAGGGAGCTGGTCCCAAGGTGGCTCTGATGCCGCCAGGCCAGCGCAGGTGACTGGAAACCTGGGCCCTGAGGCCGAAAAGACTTGGGGCCAAGACAAAGAAATCAGCTGGCTGCTTTGATGATCCCCAGTCCTGGCAGGCCTAGACCACGCTTGATTTCACAATCAGTCATCGGCAATGCAGGGAGAGGAAGGAGTGACCTGACTGGCTCTCTCCCCTCTCCTACACCCCGCATCTGGCAACCCTCAAACATCCCCCGGGGCAGGGGCTGGTGTTTGCCTGTCTCTGGAGAGCCCAGACCTTCCCAGAGAAAGCAAAAGGCCAGCCCTGAGCTGGTGCCCAGGCGTTTTTCTGCATCTGCAGGCCTTTCCTCTCTTCACTTCCCACGGAGTCTTTGGGGCTCCCTGCAGGCCTGCAGGCCTACAGGCCACTCTGCCTGGTACCTGCTCACAGGAACAGTGGGCCCCACCCCTTCTGCACCCTCAGTGGACAGTCCAGGCTGCTGCACACCGTGGGATCTGGGAAATACTCACTTTCTCCTGCGTCCACAAGGGCCCTCAAAGGTAGCCCTTGCTCTGTGTGCAATGGACATTTCTCAGGGACAGTGGTTTCACTCCATTCATTTCAAGCAGTCCCCAAAAGGCTGCAGCTTTCCCTGTCTGTAAGGATCCAGGGACTAAGCAGCCTGTAAGTCAAGGTGCCTGTAAGGCACCCTGGCCAGCTATGAACAGTATGCCAGCCAAACTGTCCAGGGCTTGACTTTGTCATGGGACCACACTCACTTGCTTTGGTCTGAATCAGGTTTGAAGTGCAGCATGGTCCAAGGCAGCAACCTCTCTGGGGGCCTGCCAACATGTTTGGCACAGGGGCTGGGGTTTTGCTCATCCCAGCTTTTCATAGAGCTGTGTCTGCTGCTCCTACAAGACTGAAGGTACTTTTCTGATTAGTCTTCGTTGCTGAAAATGCTGCATTTTATCATTAAATTATTCTATGAGAGAATTTTCCAGATAAAGGGGAAATGCCATGAATATTTTTATAACATTAAATACTCAGATTTTTTAAAAAAAATCCTAATCTCTAACCTGCCTATTTTAATGGGGCTCTATGTAGTCTGGAGCTTATCATTTTGATCACATTTACAGATTGGTTTTATGAAAATAAAATACCTGAAAGGGTCTTGTGCCTTGGTGGTCTTTCTCTGTCCTTGTTCTCTCTTCACAAGGTCCAGCTCTCAGCCCAGGTATGAGTCTGGAGGGGGGGAGATCTCTTTCCATAGGGTTCTCAGTAACTGCTCCTTACTGTTCTTGATAGTAAGCGATCTGGCTGTTCTGACACCATGGCCTCTCCTGCAGAATGGGTGCCTGGGCTGCCCCCCACCACCACCACCACACACACTGAAGGCCTGGATTTGTCAGTGGTCTCTGTCCTGTGAGCCTCTTCCCTGAGCTATAGGTGTGTGTTTGGGAGGGTGGGTTGGGGGGCTCCAGGACAGCGAGCATTTGCACCAAATCTTGACCACAGGAAGCCAAATGAACTTATTTAACATCTAGGGTGTCTCAAGGGGGGTCTCAGATCTCAGAAGCCAACCTGACCAGTCTGGCCTGTAGAAGCTGGCACTTGGATAATCCACATCATCCTCAATGGGGGCTTTGGGCATCCAAGCTTGGCTTGGTATGTACCTGCCCAAATTCTCACAGTGTGGGGTTGGGATGGCCAGGGTCTGTCATTCCCAGCTCAGGAAACTCCAGTGACCAGAGGGGGCAGGAACCACCTGGAGGATCCCACACAGGTGCCTCCTGACTCCACACATACCTTTGGGGCTTCTTCCCACTGCCCTGACACACCTGAGGATCCAAATGTCCAGCTGGGCTCTGCAGCCTTTGCCGATGCCCCAAACTGCTTCTGCCGCGAATTTTCTGGGCACTCTATAGGAATGAATGGAAGAGGAGGCAGGCAGAAAAGAGAGGCCCTGCCCTGTGCTCTAGAGGACCAGGGCCAGGCATTGGCACACACACCCTCCTGCAATCAAAGTTCCTGTGGGTTTGGTTTCTCCTGGGGGACAGAGGGGCTTGCACAGGCGCCCCCAGAGCAGCCCTCCCAAGTAGGAGGATGGGAGGCTGGCCTTGTAAATCACCAGTGAGCCATCTGGCTCAGCCCCAAGGCCCCCTGGGCGTGGTCAGTCGATGAGCACCCAGTAAATGCTTGTATGTGCGATGTGTGGGAGTTACAAAGGCAGGCAAAAACGTGACCCTGCTCCCCGGTGCTCCCAGCCCAATGGGAGACCACGTAGGAGAACTGGGATTGTCTCGGAAGGCACAAACGTGAAGGGAGTTGAGAAAGTCTTGAGAAGCCTAGAGGCAGAGGCAGAGTCCGAGTCTGGGATGGGTTACAAGCCGGTCAGGGGCCGGCCGGGTGCTGGCCGATCGGAAGGATTGAGATCAAGGGAACCTGAGACCCATAGGGTTGGGGGTGGGGACTCTGAGGCCGACTCCTCCGCAGAAGAAGCTCCTGTATGACCGGGCCCAATACTGCCAGGTTAGAAAGGGCTGGGTTTCCAGTTTTCCCTTTAAGGCCTCATCCTTGGCCTTTCTGCAGGCTATTAAATGTAGTCACACTGGTGGGCGAGCCCAATGCCCTTCTTTTACGGGGAGGAAATCCAGGCAAATTTACCTAAGCCCACACAAGCAGGAAGTTTCTGCTACAGAACTTGAACCTCTTCCTAGAGACCTCTCTAGCCCAGGGCTCTGAGCTGCCTACACAGACCTTCCCTTCAGAAGCCGCCTCACTCAGGACAGTTGACAGGCTGGGGAACTGGAGCTGGGATTTGAACCCAGATCCTGGGTGCAGGAGCTCCTTCCCTGTACCAATGAAATCTGGAATCTGGACTGAGGCCCCCCACCCCCACCCCCAACTTCGCAGGCACGTGGGTGCTCAATAAATGCGAGTGGGCTGACCCACTGATAGAATGACCAACCACCAGGTGGAAGGGTCTAGCCCCGCCCACTTCATCCCGGCTCCGTCCCTTCCCCCCACCCCTCCTCCCCACTGGTTTATTCTGGTCGCGCCTTCCAGCCCTCCGGACCCCGCCCCTCCCTGTCCTGGTGCCTCCCTTCTTCCCCAGTTCGGCTTTGCTCTGACCCCGCCCCTTTCCGCTTAGACCCGCCCCTTGTCTCCGCTCTGTCCCAGCATGGCTCCACTAACCCTTCTGCTCTGCCTCGCGCTCCGCCTCGCCCCAACCCCCGCCCCTACCCGCTCTAGCCCCGCCTCCGTCTCTTCTCTCCATTCGGCTCCACAGGTGCCTGCCCCAGCCCAGTTTCAGGGCCAATCCGTCCCAGCCCCGCCTCTCAGTGTCTACGCCCACTGCGCTAGCTCCGCCCTTGTCTCGCCTTAGCCCTAGCCTACTCGCAGGCTTTCGGCGCAGGGCCCGCCCCCGCTCCGCCCTGGCTGGTCCTCGCTCCATTCTGGTCCCTCCCCTCCCTTGACCCGCCGACCGCACGGCCCATCCCGGACCCAGTCCACCCCCAACTTCTTCCTTCGCCGATTTCTGTCCCTCCGGGGCCGCCGTCGCCGTCTCCCAGCAACGGCAGCTGCAGGGCCACTGCTTGGGGCTGGCCGAGCTATGAACCGGCCTGGGCGCACGGTCCAAGGCTCGCTGCTGTCCGCGCCGCTGCCGCTCACGGCGCTTCACCACCTCTATGCCTGGGTGGACAGCGTGCCCTTCAGCCGCCCAAAGCGCCACCTGGCCCGGGACTTCAGCGACGGCGGTGAGCCAGGCGCGGTGGGTGCGGGGCCGGCCCGGAAACTGAGGCCGGGCAGGAGCCGGAGCCGGAGAGTGAGGGTTTGCGCCAGGTTTTTGATTGGCTGCGGGCCAGCTAGGGGGCGGGACGCCGCCGCCTGGCATTGGCTGCCGCTCAGCCGAGGGAGGGGGCCGGTCTCGAGGCGGCCGGCGTGACGGCCCGGAGATTGGCTAGAGACAGTGAGAGGCGGGGCCCGTCATAGGCATCGGGAGATGCAGTATGACCATTGTATACGGCCTGACAAGGGTGTGGCCGGTCACCATGCCTCCGGCAATGCACCCTGCGGATTGGCTGGAGGGAGGCAAGGGAAACTCAGCTGGGGCGTTGGCCGCAGCTCTGACCCAAAACTGCTGGATAGTCCGCTCGTAAAGTTCGCATCCCCAGAGTGCCTGGGGCTGGAGTCTTGGAGTCGACTTCATTGAATTCAGTTCGATTCCAGCGACTTTTAAGTGCTAGGCCCTGAGGTTACTAAACCTAAAGCAAAGTGTGAAACTCCTCCCTTGATCTCGAGAAGCTCACATTCTTGGAGGCGGGGCGGGAGGGGGGCTGGAGAGGATACAAGTAGATACAAAGTAGTGGACAGTGAGTCTTTGTTGCAACTCCCGCTTCCTTCCCCTTCGGCGACAAAAGTAGCACTTGGTTTTCTTCTGAATTCCTTGCAGTGATGATTGCAGAGATTGTGAAACACTTTCAACCCAAACTTGTGGAAATGCACAACTACGTTCCTACCAGTAACACCGAGCAAAAGCTGAGCAACTGGAGCACTCTGAACAGGCAGGTGCCGGGATCTGCCGGGAGCGGGGGTGGGGGGTGGGAAACCTGTACTGGCTGAGTCTGTCCCGGGTGCATTGGACACCACGCTGGCTGGGTCTGTCCCGGGTGCAGCAGGTGCCACAGTTTAGGCTTCGTTGTTTCTCCAAAACAGGGTGAGACCTCCAAACACTTGCCGGCTTTGAGTTGGGGTTGAGGCTAGGCTGAACGACCACAAACCAACCCAGCCAGGTTCAGAGTGAGATCAGATAGCTGCCTTCAGGTGTGAGAAAGGTTCTCCGTGGGAAGAAAGATTAGCCTTGTACGGCTTAGCCCGGAAGGCAGACCCAGGAGAAAAAGCGGGTAGGGGGTGAGGGAACAGATTTCCGGGCCGCAAAAGGAAAAGCTCCCTAATGGAGATAGATGTCCACAAGTTCCCTGTCACCGAAGGTCATCCCCAAGCATCCTTGACCACTTGAGGAAGTTGTGCTTTGGACTTGTAGGTCTCCTAGCTCTGATTTGCCCACAGGCCTGCCTCAGTGGAAAGGAGGGAAGCCATGTTATCCAAAGCCATTCCCTGCCATCTGGGCGGTGAATGCTCTCGGGCCTATCTCCAGCCTACTGCGTTTAAGGCAGGTGGTTTTTCTAGGAAACCAGAAACATGGGTTTGTATCGAGACTTCAGAGAGGGCAAGAACTGTGGCGGGACTCTGAAGGAGGAGAGGAAAAAAGAGAAGCCAGGCGTGTTAGTCACCGAAATGCTACTTCAGAACCCAGTGACACTGCACTGTTAGAGACAGGGGTGCACATGTCTGGGGATGCTGATGCTGGCATAAGTAGTGGGCCAGCAGGGATGACCCATAGAAGGCCAAACTCATGGGGAGCCTCAGAGACCATCCTATCTAATGCCCTTTTCTCCCAGGAGAGGAGCCTGAGGTGAGGGGAAGCTGCTGACCCTGGTCACACAGGGAGTGAACAGCTGCCTCCAGAGCCAGGGCAGGGTAGCAGGAGGGGATGCAAAATACAGGGCACTTTCCAACAGCCGTGACAGAGCTATTCCTTGGTACTCCCTGCACAGCTTTGCACCCTGAATTTGGACCTCTGCCTTCCCAGGTGCCCATTGATTGAGCTGGCAGGAGAAGCAGGAGGTGATATCTGTGAGGCTTGTTCGAGGCTGACAGAAAGTAAGAGAAGCCTGTTTAGAGCCCAGTCGTCTTCTGATTGCTTTTCAGAAAAGTGTTCCCTAAACTACGCTTCTATGTCTCAGAGGAAGACATTCGGAAGGTTGTCATCAGTGCCCCGGGGGCCATTGAGTCTGTACTGTCTACATTGAGGCAGAAAGTAGAAGAAAAATGCCAAAGGAAGGCCATCCAAGAGGCCAGGCTGACCTTGAAGGTGTGTCCCTAGGTCCTCATCCCCATGGGGCAGTGTGGGGGGGGGCTTAAGGGAGACATGGAGGGAAGAGATGCAGGCATTTTGGGGGCTGCCCAGACCACCTGATACCTGAAAAAGGCACTGAGGCTGGGCTGGGGGGCCATGGGTGGGCCCCCATTCTTCCCTGCCTGGCACTCATCTTGGTTCCTGACCCAGGCATCAGAGGTGCAGGGAACACCAGTATTTTGTGCACCTTTGGCTCCAGTGTGTCTGTGTGTGGCCTGATGGAGCAGTAAGAGGAGCTGGGAGGCTACTCAGGTGGAAACGATCAGGGTGATGCTCCCATGCCCTCTCCAGTCTGTCCTCCAGAAGCTGCCAAACTAAGAGTCCTCAGACATGACTCTGACCCCAAACTTCTGATGGCTCCCCATTTCCTTGAGATAAAAGAGACATTTCCCAGCCTGACATTTGTTCCCTCCACTGTCTGGCCCCTCACGGCCCCTTCTCATCTTGTTCCAAACTGTTTTAGTCAAACAGGCTAATCCCCTGTGCGGACCTCCAAACTCCTACCTCCCAGTCTTTGTGCATAAGGTGTCCCCCAATGCCTTTTTTTTTAAAAATCACTTTAATTGTATTTTTATTGCCAAATTCTCTCCCTCCCCCTTTCTTCTTCCCCACCCACTGAGAAGGCGAGAAAAATAGAGCTCATTACAAATATGTATAGTCATGCAAAACAAATATCCACATTAGTCATGTTCTTCCTTGTCCCCAAATAAGTCAAGAAAAAGAAAAGAAAGAGAAGAAAATGTGCTTCCACCAGCTCTCTATCTGGAGGTGGATGGCATGCTTCATCATGAGTCTTGGAATTGTGGTGGGTCATTATACTCATCGGAGTAGCTAATTCTTTCACAGTTCATTAATGTTACAGTATTGCTGTTATGTGTACAATGTTTTTCTGATTCTATTCACTTCACTTTGCATCAGTTCATATAGTTCCTAGGTTTTGCTGAAAGCATCCTGCTCATTTCTTACAGCCCAGTAACATTTCATCACAATCATATACCACACCCTGTTGAGCCATTCCCTCACTGATGGGCATCCCCTCAGTTTCCAGTCTTTGCCTCCACAAAAACATCTGCTATGAATGTTTGTGTGCTTTCCTCTTTCTTTGATCTCTTTGGAATGCAGACCTAGTAGTGGTAACCCTGGACCCTAAGGTAGGCCCAGTTTAATAGCTTTTGGGCATAGTTCCAAATTGTTCTCTGGAATGGTGGGACCAGCTTCCAGTTCCTCCAAGAGTGCATTAGTATCCCTGCTTTTTCACATCCCCTCCAGCATTTGTCATGTTCCTTTTCTGGCATGTTAGTCCATCAGATAGGTGTGAGGTAGCTCCTCAGGGTTGTTTTAACTGGCATTTCTCTAATTATTTGTGATTTAAAGCATTTTTTTATTAAACAATTTATTAACTTTTAGTTTTTAACATACATAAGATTTTGAGTTTCAAATTTTCTCCCCTTCCCTCTCCTCCCCCTCCCCAAGACGGTATGAAATCTGATATAGGCTCTACTTACACATTCATATTAAGCATATTTTCACATTATGTAAAGAAGAATTAGAACCAACGGGATGAGCCACAAGAAAGAAGAATCAAAACAAAACAACAAAAGAAAAGAAGAGCAAATATAGTCTGCTTCGATCTGCATTCAGACTCCAAAGTTCTTCCTCTGGATATGGATAGCTTTTTCCATCGTGAGAATTCTGGAGTTGTCTTAGATCCTTGCTTTGCTGAGAAGAGCTAAGTCTATCAAAGTCAGTCATTGCACAGTGTGGCTGTTAGTGTGTACAGTGTTCTGGTTCTGCTCACTTTACTCAGCATCAGTTCATGTAAGTCTGTCCAGGTTTTTCTGAAGTCCACCTGCTCATCATTTCTTATAGCAAAATAGTATTCCATTACATTCATATACCACAACTTGTTCAGCCATTTCCCAATTGATGGGCATCCCCCCAATTTCCAATTCTTGGCCACCACAAAAAGAGCTACTATAAATATTTTTGTATATGTGGGTCCTTTTCCCATTTTTATCATCTCTTTGGGATACAGCCCTAGAAATGATATTGCTAGGTCAACGGGTATGCATAGTTTTACAGCCCTTGGGGCATAGTTCCAAATTGCTCTCCAGAATGGTTGGATCAGTTCACAACTCCACCAACAATCAACAATGCATTAGTTCCAATTTTCCCACATCTTCTCCAGCATTTAGCATTTTCCTGTTTTGTCATGTTAGCCAATCTGATAGGTGTGATGTGGTACCTCAGAGTTGTTTTGATTTGTGCTTCTCTAATCAATAATGATTTAGAGTATTTTTTCGTAAGACTATAGATAGCTTTAATTTCTTCCTCTGAAAACTGCCTGTTCAAATCCTTTGACCATTTATCCATTGGGGAATGACTTGTATTCTTATAAATTCAACTCAGTTCTCTATGTATTGCAGAAATGACGCCTTTATCAGAGCACTGGTTGTAAAAATTGTTTCCCAACTTTCTACTTCCCTTCTAATCTTGGTTGCATTGGCTTTGTGCAAAAGCCTTTTAATTTAATGTAATCAGAGTCATCCATTTTAGGGCATTTTTTTTCATATGGCTCTTGATAGCTTTGATTTCTTCTTCGGAAGCTTCCTTATTGATATCCTTTGACCATTTAGCAATTAAATTATTTTTCTGCTTGAAAATTTGCTTCAGTTCGCTACGCACTTGAGAAATGAAACCTTTATCAGAGAAACTTGCTGCAGATCCCCCCCTTTCCTCCTTTTCTTCTCACTTTTAGCTTCATTGGCTTTGTTTGTGAAAAAAGAAATTATGTGATTGAAATGATCCATTTTACCTCCTGTGAACACCTCTATCTCTTGTTGGGTCTCTCCATAGATATGACAGATAATTTCTCCCATCCATCCATCCATCCATACAGACATCACTAATTGGGTTATGTCTTAGTCAGGTACTTATTTGGAGCTTTTCTTGGTGTATGTTGTGAGGTGCTGGTCTGTGCCTAGTTTCTGCCAACGTACTTTGCAGGTTTTGTCACATAGAATGCTTTTGCTCCAGTCGCGGGGATCTTTAGGACATGAGATCACTGCGGTCACTTACAAGTGCCTCATCTGTCCCACTATTCTTCACCGGTGGCTTGCCTCATCTGAGATCTGGCACCACAGAGGATCCACCTTCCTTCCTGTTTGTTTTCACTGATTTTCTTGACATTTGTGACCTTTTCTTCCTCCAGAAGAATTTTCTTATTTTTTCTAGCTCTACAAAGTAATTCTATGGTGATTTGATGGGTGTGGCACTGAAAGATTAAGTAGATTTAGGTGGTATTGTCCTTTTTACCATATTGACTCAGCCTACCCAATATTTCTCTAATTCTTTCCATCTGTCTTTATTTGTGTGCTTATGTTCATTTAGTTCCTGTGTATGTGTGTCTTGACAGGTAGATTCCCAAGTATTTTACACGGTCTGTGGTGATTTAAAATTGCACTTCTCTTTCTGTCTCCTCTTGTTAAGTGTCCTTGGTAATATACAGAAATGCAGATGATTTATGTGGGCTCCTCACATCTCAAAGGTACCTTGTCTCCTTTTCCCTCAGAGAATGCCTAGCTCACTTCCAAGGGAGCCCAATGCCTGGCACATTTTGGGTGTAGAGGAGAGGGAGACCAAACCTATGATTTCATTGATGTAGGAAACTCCTGGGCACTGACCATTGGGCCACATCTGGCCTTGGAGCCTGGGGCACAGCCTTTGCTTAATACTTATTTGGGGTTCCAAGTAGAATTCAATCTGCTCACTGGTGTGAGAGAGACGCATCTCTGTGTATCGAGTAGACAGTGCAAGGCTTGGAGCAAGAAGATCTGAGCTCAAATCTGTCCTCAGACATGTATTAGCTGTGTGCCCTTGAGCAAGTCTCTGGCCTTCTGTCTGCCTCAGTCTCCTCATCTGTACAGTGGGGATAATAACAGCATTTACCTCCCAGGATTGTTTCAAAGGAGATAATCGTTAGGAAACACTGAGCACATGCTGGTGCCACATAAATGCTTGCTGTTCGTGGTTGTTTGGTCACATCCAACTGTCCGTGACCCTGTTGGGGTTTTCTTGGCACAGATGCTGGAGGGGTTGGCCATTTCCTTCTCTAGCTCATTTTACAGATCAGGAAACTGAGGCCAACAGGGTGAAGTGACTTGCCCAAGGTCACACGGCTACTATGTCCAAGGCCAGAGTTGAGCTCAGGAGGATATCTTCTGATTCTTGGCCCCGCTCTATCCCCTGCAGCGCCACACGGCTGCCCCATGCAAATGCGCACTAATACTGAGATGGCAGGGCATAATCACATGCCTTCCGCTCTTTGGCTTTCCCCAGAGCCTCCATTGGAAGGCATGAGCCTAGGCTGCCCCTGCATGGGTACCTGCCCTCCCTCTTCAGCTTTCATCTGTTGTCTTCCCCTGTCAGAGTGTGCACTGCTCGGGGTGACAAAGGTCTTTCTCTTTGCTTGTATATGTGATCCCAGCACTGGCTAGAGTGACTGCTGAACCAATCTTTGTCAGTAGCAAATCGCAGGAAGGCCTCAACATTGACAATAAAAAGTGATCATGTTTTTCCTTGCCCTCCTCGGCCACATCTGGGCACCAGGGACCCTTCTCCTCACCAGGATGTTTGGGAAATGAGATAGCAGAGCCAAGTCAGGATTATTGTTGTGGCCTAGATACCCTAAAAGTTGTAACTAGAAATGGAGGCTTCTCCAAAGAAAAGAAAACTTGGGACGGTGCCCCACTCTTCCCCACACACCGCCTTGGTACCCCAGCGCAAAGCCATGGTGTTTTCTTGCACTCCAGAGCATTTGGGCCTTGTGTGTTCACGGGATCCCCCGAGGCCCTTCTCTTGTGCTTTGTTTTGGTGCCAAAATGAACAGAGGCTGAAGTTGGTGAGCTTGGTGTGGGCAAGCCCAGGAATGAAGAGTGTGTATGTGTGTGTATGTGTGTGTGTGTGTGTGCGCGCATGTGCAGGCTTGCATGTGCGCATGTATGTGCTCACTCTCAGGACCAGCCATGCTTGTCCCAAGGTTGGCTACAGGCTGCCATCTTTAGCAATGGAAGAGCTTGGCAGGCGTATGAGGGTCCCCAAAGCTCGGAGGGAGCTGCTAATCAAGGACGGCCAAAGGAAAAAACAGAGGCTTTCCTTAGGGAGGATGGACCAGGGCCAAGAGACAAGAGAGAGACGGCAGTCCTACCCAACTCTCTTTGTTTCCTGGGCAAGGGAGAATGACAAGTAGGGGGAGAGCCACAGTGCCCAAGGGAATGAGCATTTATAGAGCGCCTACTGTGTGCCAGGCACTGGTTAAGCACTTTGCAAACATTTCATCTGATCCTCACAACCCTGGGAAGTGGGGGCTGTTATTTTCCCCATTTTGCAGTGGAGGAAACTGTTCAGGGACTTGCTCAGGGTTGGCCAGCTTGAACTTGGGTCTTCCTGACTCCAGGTCCCATGCTCTGGTGTCCTGGTGCCCTCATTGCCTCCGAAGCTGATGAAGGAACCTTGGGTTCTGGTGCACGGGGCAGGTGAGGGCATTTAGGGAAGTTCTCCCAGTCCATGTGGTTGGAGGGTCACTTGTAGGACTTGGGAGACTGAGAAGACTGAAGGGGAGCATGTGACCACCGTCTTCAGGTATCAGGGGATTATCATGAGAGGCCCAAAGGATGAAGCCACGAGCTGCCAAGGGGCCGCTTTCAGGACGAACTTCCTCCCACGGTGGCCTAGGTGCCCCCTACCCCCCAGGTCTTAAGGCTGGGTGACTCCCCACTGGGGACATTGGAGATGTGTGTATGGGCAGAGGGGCCCCTTCAAGCTCCCTTAGCTCATGGTAGAGTGGTAATCTGCCTCAGTGGGAGGGTCTCCTACCACAGCAGAGTCCTGGGTCATTGGAGGGAGGGCCTATGGGTGCCTCAGAGGGTCTGGCTAGAAGGTGTGACTTGGCTCCTCAGGAGACATGCATTTTGTGTCTCTAATCAGCCTTTCCGTTGAGGCCCAGACAGCCTCAATGACAGTGGGATCAGGTAAGCTTTTCTTTTTACCCTGAGAATGACCCTCCAGGGAACAGGAGTGCATAGGAACACAATAAGATGAAAATGGAAGCATTGGCATCTGGCAGAAACATCTGCTCCATTCTGGGCCCTACCCAAACCTGCTGGCCCCAGGCCCCTGTTGGCTGCCAGTGGTCTTCTCCTTTTAAGGGAGCAAGGACAGATTGTGAATGGTTTCACCTGGGAGTGAACTAAGGCATCCACAAGGCCTGGGCTACAAGGGGTTCTTGGAGGCCAGAGTGAGCCCAGCCTTCAGCCCCAGCCCCAAGCCTGGAGAGTCCCTGGTCTGGCTCTAGCTGAGTCTCAGGGCATTTCCTGGTCTAAGCCAGAGCCCTGGGCCAGAGGCACTTGCTGCTGGGGGGAGGAGGGAGGGGACGAAGAAGGAGTCAAGAAAGCAGGGTGAGATGGGCCACAGGTCCTGCCTGCCTTCTGTCTGTGGCCACTGTACTGATGGTCCTGGCCCCTCTGGCTGCTCTGAAGAGAGTCAGGTGGCCCCAGGGGAGGGTCCTGCTGCCCAGGCCAGAGATATTCTCTGTCCCAATGCTTTCCAAATTCTTTTTGGGGTGAGGGACAAAGGTCTCAGCTTGGGCCCTTACCCCATCATTCCACCTTCAAACAAATGGGACCCAAATTCTTTTTAGGGTGAGGGGCAAAGGTCTCAGCTTGGACCCATACCCCATCACCAGCTCCTTCTGGGTTAGTCTAACCCACCTTCTTATGGAAGCCCCCCCCCCCAACCATCCTTCTCCCCTCTGAGCAAGAGCTTCAGGCTAGGCTAGGAAGGCAGCATGGGGGTGGAGAGTGTGGAGGGGTTGGGGTGGGCAGCCCTAATATAGGGCCTGGGCCCCAGGGAGGCATCAGAGTTCAGAAACCTGCTGCCTTAAGTATGGGACTTTGTGGGTGCACTGAGCAGGACAGGAGCCCGAGGCCAGGGCAGAGTTGGGATCCTCTGGGAGTCTGCCTTCTCCCCACACATTTTGCCTTTGGGACTTGGCCTAGGCCAGGCAGGGGCCACTCCTGGGTTTTCCCCTTCCAGACCGTTCTGTTTCTGGCCCAAGTTCAGGGTCCCCTGGAATTCCTCATGGGTCGTCATCAGACAGACCTTTCACTGCTGGGCTCCTTTCCCAGCCAGGCCAACAAGGACCAGTTTGTTGCTCTGGCCTCTCCCCAGGCCTTTTTTGTGCCTACAACACTGTTTTAGACAAACATACTCTTAGAGCAATACAGGAATCCCATAGCAAGGGTCAGGGATTCCCAGCATAGAAGCATTTAGGGGCATCACTGTCTGACTAACCTTGTGAACCCTTGTCACCCTCTTCCATTTTGTTACTGAATTAATAAAGGAGCTTGCCAATGAATGTCCACAGTTCAGTACAATAATGCCATCTGATGACTAGCTGGAAATGACTTGGCTGTTCTCAGCAACAGTGATCCAAGACATTCCCAAAGTACTCATGATGAAAAATACTGTCTGCCTTAGGAGAAAGAACCAATGGTGATGGGTGGCGCACTGGGTAGAGCACCAGCCCTGGAGTCAGGAGGACCTGAGTTCAGATCCGGCCTCAGACACTTGACACTTATTAGCTGTGTGACCCTGGGCAAGTCACTCAACCCCATTGCCTAGCAGAACAAAAACAAGAACTGATGGTGTCTGAATGCAGATCGAAGCTGGGTTTTTTTTTACCTTTCTGGATTATTTGTCGTGTTTTTTTTATATTTTCCCTTTGGCTCTGTGTCTTTTTTCACAACATGACTAATATAGTAACATGTGTTGAACGATTGAACATGTAGAACCTAGATCCAATTGCTTACTGTCTCAGGGAAGGGCTTACATTTTTTTTAAAATCAGTGTTAAAAATTGTCTCTACATATAACAAGGGAAAAAATAAAATTTAATTAAAAAAAAGTTTAAATATCCACTGAGAACTCTGTACATGCAAGTCAGTCCTAGGGGCCCAGGAAGATGTGAACTGGGCCCCTGCCCTCCAGTGTCCTGGTGGGTAAACCAGACACCATGAATGAGTGAAATGTTAACTATGGAGAACAGACAAATGCATCCGTGATGTCACACGTACAGAACTAATGACCTGCAAAAGGAAGGGCTGCAAAGGGGAAGAGAGCTGGACTCTGGGTAGACCTTGAAAGTTGGGAAGAAAGAGAGGGGAGTCTAGCTGCAGACAGCCTTTGTCCTGTGCCAAATAATGGCACCACTGCCTTCCTAGCAACAGATAAGGATTTTAGCTCATTCTTTCATGACATCCAGCTCTAATGCTGAAGTGAAAGAAGCAGTGATGAGTCTTGAGCATAGACTAGATATGTATCCACTCCTGAGCACATTTCCGATGATGATTCTTCTCTAAAATCTTTGCAGGACCCCACTGGATTTGACAGCATTAACATCAACAGACACTTGGCAGAGTTGGAAAACTGCAAATCTGCCGGTATTATTTAAATTGTCCCTGAGATGGCAATGACTGTGTGTAAGCCAGGGAAAAATGGATTTTATCTGACCAGCCTCTAGTGATGTAAACGAGTGTTTAGTGGGATGGTCATGAATTCAGAAAATTGGGTACTGCTACCTGCTTCCTACCCTGGGCGACGATCATGGGCTGACAGAAAACTCATACCCTCCCGCCCAAAGTACCTTTGTTCTCTTTCTCTTCCTTCTGTGTATATGCTTAGCTATATCCTGGTCTCATCTGAATGGAAGTTCCTTAACAGTAGGGGTTGGGGTGGGGGGGTTATCACATTCTTTGCTACTACACTAGCTGGCACCAGAGTGCTCAGTGCTAAGGACTCCTGCCTCTGCACTTACTGGCTGGGTGACCTTGGGTGGGCAAGTCATCGCACCTGTCTGCCTCTTCCAAAAAATGAAGGTCATAATAGCTACTATGTCCCTGGGGTGTTGTGAAGAGCCAATGAGAATGTGCATTTAAAGTGCTTTGCAAACCTTAAAATGCTCTATAAAGTTAGCTACCATAGGACAATACCTGGCATACAGTTAGTGCTTAATAAATGCTCTATAAATGTGTGCTACTGTAGCAGAGCACTGGCACACAGTAAGTGCTTAATAGATGCTCTACAAATGCTACTGTAGCATAGCACCTGGCACACAGTGTTTAATAAGTGCTCTATAAATGTTCACTACTGTGGCACCCACCAGCATACAGAGGGTGCTTAATAAATGCCCTATAAATTTCACTACTGTGGCCCCCCCACATACAGAGGGTGCTTAATAAATGCTCTTTATACATGTTAGTGGCCATAGAACAATACCAGCACACATAACTGCTTGTTTATTGGTTGACCAATTCTTTGATGAGTCATAGAAGGTAAAACTATCAGTTATTGTTTCTGGTTCCTGACTGGTGACCCCAAGGAAGTCTGAGAGGCACCTCTTCTCCCAGAGCCCCTTGAAGGCCATGCCTCGCACAAGAGCCTCCGTGCTGAGGGTGGAACACAAGCCATTTTGATTCTTGTCAAGGAGGGGTGGCTGGTTTGGCATCTTTGAATGGACCTAGAGGTCAGTGGCTCATCCTCCAGCAGAGGCATGAAGCCCCATGCCTGCTGTACCAGGCATCCCCAGCGGGTGGGAAAAGCCACAGACCTAATCCTCTTGCCCTCCCTGCCTATCCAACAGAGAGCCTCTGGAGACAGCAGAAAACCCCAGCCTGACTCTTCAGGCTTCTTCTGGCTTTATGTTTCAACAGCATGTCTTTTCTTGCAGAATACCCGACTATCAGGGTACCCTTGGGCAAGAAGACAATTCCTAGTCAGAAAGGAGAGGAGAGAGGCAGCGACCACTCTGGGAGGTGGGCTGTGCCAACCAGGGCAGGCGTCAGGAGGACTGCCCCCTGCACTTTCCCTCTTGCATCCCCTCCTTGGCCTGTCCCTCTTGGGTTCCCCCCACCTCTGTGCTTTCTTTCTTGGATCCTCCCACTTGTTCCCTCTTGGGTCCCCGCTACCATGGGCTTTCTCTCTTGGGTCCCCCCTTTTTCCTCTTGGATCTCCTCCCCCCCCTCCTCCATGGGCTTTCTCTCTTGGGTCCCCCTTTTTTCCTCTTGGATCTTCTCCCCCGCTTCTCCATGGGCTTTCCCTCTTGGGTCCCCTCCCCACCTCCACCCCATGGGCTGGTCTTTGCATTTCTGAGCTGGATGGTCACAGGTGTGCTCTCCTTCCAGGCAGGACCCAAACTTCAGCCAGTGCCCACACAATGAGCCCAACTTCCAGCAGCTACTGGAGCAGAAGGAGCAGGCTCTCACCATGCTACAGGAGACAGTGCAGGTAAGGCCAGAGGATGGGAACCCTAGAGGGATAGAGAGGGGAGAAAGGGTCTGGCCTGGCTTCCTACCTCACCTTGGGGGGGCACCTACTTCTTGTGTGCCTAGCTCTGGGCTGGGAGCTGGAGCCCTGCCCTAGAGGAGCTGACCTTCTGTTAGGCCAAACAGCCTGATTGTACACAAGGGGTTTGCGAGAAAGTAGGGAGGAAGCACAAAGTGAGTGTAAGGAGATGGGGACCCTCGGAGGGCATTGCAGGCACAGGGGATAGCTGGTGCAAAGGCGGGGAGGTGGAAACCGGAAGATCGGGGGCTAAATTGTGGGGTACGTATGAAAGGGAGTCCTGTGTATAATGAGGCTGCAAAGGGAGTGCTGGGATTGACATTAGGGTAAACTGAGGCACAAAGCTCTGAGCACAATCAATTTATTAGCAAAGTGTGAATTTATGCCTCTACAGCAAGCTAAAACCCCGAATGAGGGGCCAGCAGATCATATTTACAGCCAAAAAGAGGAGTATCCAAACCGAGGAGGCAGCTCCTGGTTGGAAGAGACGATACAAATGGTCCAAAGTCTGAAGCATCCTAGGCATGGGGGCAGGTGGGGGGGATGGTCAATGCTGGGCTAGCAACCACTCTAGCTAGGAAGTTCTGATGGATTCAGGCTTCCGGCAAGGCTGCATAGTGGTGCAGAGATCACAGACCAGACTTCCTGGGACTGAATAAGCGTCACACAAGGCATTGGTGGCTGGCACAGAAGAGAATCAGTAGGATTTTCTGGGTGGTGTTCCCAGAGGCCCGAGGGACACACAGAGCTCCTTGAGCAGGGCAGAGATGTGGCTAGAGTACTTGGCAGTGGAGGACATGCTGCAGAGGAGAGAATCGAGGCTGGTGTAGCAGTTAAGTGAGGGATGATAAGGGTCTGACTTAGGGCCAAGGAGAAAACGGGATGGTAGAAGGTCAGATCAATGGGAGAGCGAGAAAAAGAGGCTGTTGGTACCCAGCAAGATCCAGCAAAGGAGCCAGGCAGGCAGTGCCTGGTAGGAGGCAAATAAGGAGAGAAAGAAAACCATTAAGGAGAAGAGAGGGTGACCAGTGTGGGAGGCTTCAGAGATAGAGGAGGAGGGAAGAGGCGAGACCACTGGACTCTCCCCAAAACAATAAAGAGGGCATTGCCTTTGCCCCTGGCCAGGAGGAGGAAGGGATTTCCTGCCCTTCCTGAGGAGCAGGTTTGCCCCAGAGAGCGCCTGTGTCACCAGCCATCACCTGTGCCCCCTCTGGCTCTCTTTGAATGCCAAGAGACCCTCAGACCACTTTGGGAAAGCCTTCCTAACTTCTGCCCTTGGCACCTTCTGCCCTGCATAGGCTGAGCAGAACGGTACCGATCCCCTTCCTATCCAGTAGCTCGGCCACTTCTCCTAAGCCTTCTCTTCTCTACCCTCCACAGCATATTAATGCCCTTCCCAATATCGCCCCTGGTTGGGGCCAGATGACCTCTGAGGTCCCTCCCAACCCTTGGGTCACCATCTCAGAAGAATCTTTCTCCCAACTGGGTAGGCCCAAGACCCCTATTTTCCTTCTCACATGCCCTTGGTCCAAGCCACTTCCTGCCACCTCCAGACATGAATGGCCTTTGGAATGACCCTGTGAAAGGGTCAGGAAGGGGAGATTGCTCATATTTTAAATAGACAAGGTGAGGTGCCAAAGTCAAAAACTTGGGGAGACTTCCCAAGGCCCAGCTCGTCTATGTCAACACCTCCCAGAAAGTACCCCTTGAGGAATTTGAGGAACCTTGACACTCAGACTCTTCAGTGAAGGAGCACTGTGGGCATTTTCTTTTGGCCTGCCTTTCTTTATGCCAGCTAGGAGAGCGTTCCCCAGCAGACCTAGCGACTAGCCCCATGGCCAATTGACTGACTGATGCAGGAATCATGAGAATTTTGTTACATAAGACCTGCCAGGAAAATAGCTTAGTCAGATGTATTGCAAAGGGACTCTGCTTCCTGTAAGATTGGGTCTCTTTTATTCATTGTTCTTTTGATAAAAGGAGCCATGCCCTGTGGTAGAATCCAACTTGACCAGCATTTTAAGCACCTACTATGTGCCACTCAGTAGAAGCAGGAACATTAGGACAAGGGAAAGATAATTAGTCGTGTTTGGAATCTTTGAGTTTGAGATGCCTATGAAATCTGTGGGAGGTGCCCAAGAGGCGGATGAGATGGGAGCTCATAAGAGAGAAGAGGCTGCATAGACAGGTCTGAGAATCATCCTAGAGAGAGAGAGATGAGGATAGATAGACAGGTCTGGGAATCACCCATACAAGAAAGATGCGGCTGCATAGACAGGTCTGGGAATCATCCTAGAGAGAGGGAGAGAGATGAGGCTGCATAGACAGGTCTGGGAATCATCCTCATGAGAGAGATGGGGCTGCATAGACAGGTCTGGGAATCATCCTCATGCGAGAGATGGGGCTGCATAGACAGGTCTAGGAATCATCTGCACAGAAGTTATAGTTGAATCTGAGGGAGCTGATGACAGCACCTGGATAGGGAGGAGAACCTGAGCCCCAGCCTGGGGGGGCCCCACCCCCACCTGTAGAGGTGAGGCCAGAGAAATGACTCTGAAAAGGACAGAAATAAGGAAGCCAGCTGGCCAAGGAGGAGGCAGACCAGAAGCAAGAGTGTCATGGAACCCAGAGGAGAAAGGGAGGAGGGGTGTCAGTGTCGGAGAGATCCTGGTGACCTGGAGAGAGCAGCTTCCCTTCAGTAATGAGGACACAAGTCAGAAATGAGCAGGAGGCACAGTGAGAGGTTTGCCAATGACTGTAGTAGTGTGCAGCCTTTCCTAGGATTTTGGCTCTGAAAGGGAAGAATGCCATTGGACGGCAGCTTAAAGGGATGAGGAGGGTCATAGGAAGGGTGTTTAAGGTTGTGGAGACCTGGACATATTTGTGGCAGGAGGGAAGGAGCCAGTGGAGGAGGAAAGACTGAAGATTAGTATGTGGGGGTTGGTGAAAGAAGGGTCCTGGAGGAGATAGAATGGAGGACATGAGCCAGGGACATTGGCCTTAGCTGGAAGGGACACCACTTTCTCCGAGCCTGGAACAGAGGGGCAGAGAGTAGGGGATGCCATTGAGAGGACTGAAGATGTGGAGCTGGGCAGAGGAGGCAGCTCATAATGGATGGCTTCCATTTTTTTCTGCACAGTATGGGGTCTGAGGAAGGGGATGCTGTAGAGAGAGAGTTTGGAAGAACTGCTGTGGAATTCGATATCAGCCAAGGAAGAGTCAGGGGGCCTATATCCACTGGGGATGGTCCAGTGGATAAAAGACCACGGTTGTGTGATTTGCCCCTACTGTGTGGGGCAGCCCCTAGAAGGCATGGAAAAGGCCCAGGCTGAGAAGGGTTCAAGTCTGGGGCTTAGAAAGGAATGAGCGGGGAGAGAACAAGGGCATGAGGGATTTAAAGGCAGAAGATGGCGGGACGTTAAATGCACCACCTCTAGGGTCAAGATTTCAAAGGGAAGCTGCCCAAGCAGGGGGATAGCCTGGAAAAGGTTTGGAAGTGGTGGCCAGGTGGAGAAGTCTAAGGCGGGACTAGTGAGGTATCACCTTGTGGGTAATGTGTGGAGGAAAGGTTCAGGGCGTGAGAGTTGTTGGGACATCCCCAAGTCCAAGCACGTGGGTTAGGGTGGGAGTGGCAACAGCAATCCAGATGGTGAGATTCTGAAAATAGAGGAAGGGTGGCTGGGGGCGAGGAGCCAGGATCTGAAGAGACTGACGGATGTTCTTGGGTATAATGACCCTTAAAGGGGGAGAAGTTGCTGAGCAATGGTGGCAGGGGGAGCGTCTGGAAGGGGCAGTGAAAAGCTGGGATGTGTCCTCCTCTAGACCCGGGATATAGAGGGGCCTCAAGATGGAAGGGCAGTTTGTTAACAGTAGAGCAAGGACTCCCCCTGGAAGGGCAGGATAGAGTGGCCTGGACACAGGGAGGGCTGGCAGGGCCCACATGGAAGAGTGTGATGGAGGTCCTAGTGGGAGGCTGGCTGTGCCCTGGTGTTAGGCCTGAGACTTCCCCTCACCAGTTCTGCTTGAGGGCCCATCTCCAGACAGTGCTTATTGGGGTGTTTTTTTGTCTGAGTGGGGGGGTTGGGTGCTTTCTAGCCAGTCTAGCCTGGGCAGTGAGGGCGGGGAGGGGAGGCTAGGGTTCATCACACTAAATGAAGATTCACTAAGTTGCTTAAGCAGTTCTGATTGGGGTCAGTCAATCAGTCAGAAGCCCAGTGACTCCTGAGGGCCCACCTCTGGCCATGCCAAGGTGACCTGTGGGGACTTTTATCTGGGAACCTGCTCTTCTCTTGCCCTACCAGCAGCAGAGTCTGCCCCCTCCATCCCTGCATTCCTTAAAAATCACAGTCAGCAGCTGTGTGCCCCCTTGGGGGGCAGGAAGCCAGGGTCAGCATGGCTGGCAGCGAATGGGCGTGAGAAGGGATTTTCCACACTTTTGTGAGCTGGGAGAGTTTATCACTGACTTAGGGACCCTGATTAGAGACACACCTTGACATACCTGCCTGCGCAGTGGGGCTTCACAGAAAGGTCAGACTTGGAGCCTGGAGCACCTGGGTCCACATCCCCCTTCTTGGTCACTTGCCCACTGGGTGAGCCTGGCAAATCACCTCTCTCAGCTTCAGTTTCCCCATCTGTAAAATGAGAAGGAAAACAGTAGCCACCTGTTGGGCTGTTGCCACGAGCAAGGTGTGACAAGGACTTCGGCTTTTGTGATGGCACATGAGGGGCTGGCCCACTGTGTCATGGTTTGGACGAGGAGGGTGGACCTAAAGGCAGAGGCCATGGTCTTCATCCTGAGGGTGGGCGTGGGACCCATTTTCAGAGGGAGTCAAAATGCTTGAGGTAGCATAGCAGGAGAAAGGACAGGCAGAAGTCCTGGCTTTGACCCTTGGCAGCGCTGGCTGTGGGACAGCAGAGCCCCAGTGACCATTGTGTAAAATGGGCCCACTAATGCTGACCCCAACCCCCTATGACTCTCCAAGGTGGTCGTGTGAGTTATATTAAGTAACTGGTATCTAGTTATCAGTCAGGAAGCATTTATTAAGCACCTACTATGTGCCGAGCATTGTGCTAAGCACTGGGGATGCAAAGGGGGGTGGCAAAGATGGACCCTGCCCTTGGGCAGCTCCCAGTGGAATGATGAGCACCTGTTTCCTGCAGATTCTACAGATGAAAGTGCATAGGCTCGAACACCTGGTCCAGCTGAAGGACATGAGAATTGAAGACCTGACTAGACACCTGAACACCCCCAAATAAGGGAGAAGCATTCTGTCCGGTTCCTTCTTCCTGTGGTCAGATCCTGCTGCTGAAAAGTGACCTGGGAAGAACTGAGGGGATCTGGACGGCAGCAGTGCCCCTTCTCCTCTGGGGGCTGACTGCCATAGTTCGCCTCCTCCCTCCTTCCCCCTCCTTCCCTTCTTCCTCCCTCCCTTCCTTCCTTCCTTCCTCCCTTCCCTCCTTTCCTCCCTCCTTCCTTTCTTCCTCCCTCCCTCCTTCCTTTCTTTCCTTCCTTCTTCCCTCCTTTCCTTCCTTCCTCCCTCCCTCCCTTCCTCCCTTCCCTCCCTCCTTCCCTCCTTCCCTTTTTCCTTCCTTCCTCCCTCCCTCCCTCCCTTCCTTCCTTCCTTCCTTCCTCCCTTCCCTCCCTCCTTCCTTCCTTCCTCCCTCCCTCCCTCCCTTCCTCTCTTCTTTCCTTCATTTGTACACCCAAACATCTCCATCTGTATATCTGGTGGCTCTTTTGGACACATGGAGTCAGAGGCCTGCCTCCCTCCACACCTTGGTAGGGTCAGTCTGGGCAAAACTAGCCCTTTGTACGCAGTAGTGTCTGGGAGGTCTACTGAGGGACTCCTCCCCTCCCCCATCCTAGCTGAGTAAGGCTGGCTTCAAGGGACTGTCTCGATCTCTGGCATTGTGTGCATACATATGTGTGTGTGCAATCATGCGTGCACGTGTCTGTGCACACGTGTTCCTGCTATAACCTAGTCACTAGTGCTCCCTTGATACATACCGTGTCATACTCTAAGCATATGCCTTTAAAAGTGTGCAGATGGTGACAATTAGGCTTGGAAATACTTTTACAATGAAAGAAAATATGGTTAGGAGCTTGGTGTCTGATTTCTTTGGTGGTGGAGGCCAGGACTGTGTTATGGACGCTGGGATTCTAGTGGGGCCTGTGTGGCTGGGAGGCCAGTCCCCACTCTCTGGGCCTCTCCCTGCTGAATACATGGACAGTTCTGGGGTCTGAAACTTACCTCCTTGGTGTAATGGGAGGCTTGGACAGGATATTCTTAGGGGTTCCTGACTGCTCTGAATTCTGGGATCACTGGGTAGTTCCTTGCACAGCCCCCTCCATGTGCCAAGAGACCCTGGGAAATCCCCAGGGGCCAAGTTTGCAGAAGAGCCTTCTGGAGCCAGGGCCCTCTGTGTGGACCTCACCACAGGAAGCGCTGTTCTCTCTGGACAAATGCAGCTGACTCAGAGTTTGGTAGGATAGCCCTGAGCTAATGAGGAAAATAGGGAGGAAAATAGGGAAGGCTGTGGCAGCCATTCCTTCCTGAACACAGGGTCTTTGCCACAGATATAAGGATCTTGGCCTTGGGGACACATCACCCCACTCGAGCATGGCCACTCAGGTACTGAGCTGGGAGGGCTTGCCCTGATGAAGGCAGTGGCCAAGGGAAGGGCACCAGAATGTTCTGTGGTGAGAACATTGTACCTCCCCTTTCCCAGCAGAATGGAAGCCTCCCAAGGGCAGAGATGGTTTCATTTGCTGCTTCTGGTCGTGGGGGATGATTAATCTTGTGAATCTGCACAATAAGGACCTGACCCGAGGTAGGGGAGGGGGAGGCCAGGACAGCCTGGCCTAGGCACCCTCTGAGGACAGGGGTGAGGTTCAGCCTGAGAAAAGGCTTGGGCAGAGAAGGAAAGCAGAGGACACAGGTTATCTGGCCTAAGAGAAGTGGGTCTTTGGCTCCAGGGGCGGCTGGAAACTGGGTGTCTTGAAATTGATGAGTGGATACAGGGATTTAGATGCTGCTGAGCTCTGTCCCCTCCCTTCTTCCCCAGCTGGGCTCATTGGATCGCAAACATACCTTCTGGCCCAGAAATTATTTTGCCAGAAATAGAGAAAAAGGGGTATTATTGAACAAAGACATGCCCAGCCATACACAAATATTCATTCCTGGTTTTATTTGTAAGAACCGTAAAGCAAGACCCCCAAAACAAAGCCCCCTTCTCCCCAGTGCCCCACAAGCCCCTAGTAGTGCTCTAGGGAATGGAAATTGGTGAGTGATTACAGCCTGTGCATGTAATTTAGGGCTGTAAGGAAGGAGATGGGGCTGGCTCAGAAAGAGCCATTGGCTGGGGGTGGGGGTCGGGTCATTTCTGGACTATGGAATGACAAGGGTAGCCAGTGAGCTGCTCTTCCTCAGACTCTGTATTACTTGGGTTCTTTTGTCTTGGGTGGTAATTGTGAAGAGTACAGTAAAGCTTTTCAAAGGAAAAGAAAGAAGACAGTAAATTTGAGGGGTGTGTAATCTTTGACAAGAAACCCAGCTTTGAGCCTTGACTGTTCCTTCCAGCAGTGAACGAATGAACGAGCGGAACATTTAGTAAGCACTTGCTTGTGACCAGTGCTGGGACTATAAATAGAGGAGGAAGACAGTCCCTTCTCACCAGGAGTTCCCATTCTCCTGAGGGTGACAACACAGAGGGGCAGCCGATACATGGGCTGTGTGTGTGTGTGTGTCCCTGGGAGGTCCATCACAAAAGATCTTGGTTTCTGGAAGAGGTGAAATGACCGCACATTCTTCCCAGTCATCCTGTGGGGCCTCATAGGGCTTCCAGCCTGGGAAGGGCTGTGCACGAGGGCAGCTGGCCCTGTGCTGACTCACCTTCTTGGAAAGTCAGCCGCAGACCCCGACAACACAGCCAGATAAGACACAATCTAGTCGGGGCTCCAAGATCAGACGAGGTTCCTCAGAATGCGTGCGTTCCCTCTTGGCTCTCCACCAGGATGACATTGGGTCCTAGCAGGCAGTAGTTGTTGGGTTTTGTCTCTGTACCATCACCCCAGCCCTGTGCACACAGTAGGCATCTAATCAGTGCTCAGTTGTTTGAGGATTGGATAGTGCCCACCCCATGAATTGAGCTTGAATTTTGCTCACTCAAAGTCTAGGCTGGATTGGAACCCTAAAACATGCCCTGAGTGTCCCAGTGATTCTACCCAATCCCAGCATTGATTCAAGCACTTTGGGACAATAAGCTGACCCTTATCGGTCCCTTGGTTGTGTCATGGCAGTGAGGGAGGACCAGCCCTTAGACCAGGAGAGAGGCCCATTCCATGTACTCTAAAGGGGCTGGCTCTTCCTCCAGGGGACAGGCGGGGGGGGGGGCAGGGGGAGAATCGTGTACTTCCACCACTCCCACAGAAATGGCAAACCTTGGATCATAGGACATCTAAGTGTGCCTCCTGGGACAGGTGAGTCCTAGTCGGGACCTTGGGCACTTTCATTCCTTTTCTACTCCGTATTTCTTTCCATGGGCAACCAAATGGTTGTTTACAGCCTTGGAGACTAATTGATGAGTCTGAGAGATTTTGAGGTGCTGGGTCCCTTGGTTAAAGCTGACTATGGGGTCAGGGGAAGGGAGGAGGATGAACTCCACTCCAGAGCCATCTCCCAAAAGCCATGGGCCTGGAGGGACTCGTTTGGACAGTGCAGAAGTGAGTGCAGAGGGGAAAGGAAAGTGCCAGGTCAGTAGTTCAACAAATTCTTTCCATTTTGCTTAAAGTATCAGTCTCTTGGGAAAGCATCCTAGTGCTGACGTTATCACTGCTGCATGGTCCCTGCTAATTCATGCTGGTGAGTTACTAGGGTTAAGAAGTGCTTTTGTATGAAGGAAATAAATAGCTACCCTATGCCTGCTTTTCACTGCACCTCGAGGCCCTTTCTACCCTGCCTCTTTGGGGAGATTCCAGACATGAGGCAAACCTAAGCTCTGAGTGATTTCCTGGGGCTCTTGGGTGGATGCCTAAAGAGGCCAAGAGTGACAAAGAGCCTGATTTCTCCCAGCTTCCCCAAGGACTGAGCAGATCTAGGTGAGAGGATCTCCCTGTGGCAACCCTCATGAGCCCAGCTTCAGCTGTTACTGCTACCCCCATTTGTTTTACATCTTCCAGGGGGTATGGAACTACTCCAGATACCTGCACTGTAAGACTTTGCTCAGGGAAGTCTACTTGTTCCAAGTTTGCAGTTTCAGGGAAGCTGAAGACAGTGTGGCCACCCTGGAGTTAGCTGCATCTGACCTTGACTCAAGAATCTGAGTTGGGATGAATACAGCTTGACAAAGATGTTTCATAATTTAGAAAGTCCCAAAAGCTTGGACTAAGACTTTTGGAACACCTTGTGGTCACATGAAAGACTGCTCCAAATCTCTAGGAGTAACAGAAACATGAATCCAAACAACCCTGAGACTTCGTTTCATACCCATAAATGGCAAAGATGAGGAAACATGGCGATAGTCACCATGGCTGGGGTCATGGAGAGATGGGCATACTAATACATTGCTAGTGGAGCTGACTTAATACAACCATTCCAGAAAACAAGGTTGAATTGTTCTAAGAAAGTGACTAAAATGTCCACGCTCTGTGGCCCAGAGCTACTGTGGCTAGGCATCTACCTCAAGAAGACAAAGACAGAAAGAAAGGTCCCATAGCCATCAAAATAGAAATGTCAGCCCTTCTGTGGGAACAAAGGATTGGGGGGTGCCTGCTTTTGACAGGGTTCCAAAAACTAGTTGTTGGCTCCTGGGTTGCAGCAGAGACCATGCTGGAGGTAGGACAGGGCAGGTTGTTGCCTGATCAGGGCCCCCCAGACTCTGGCCATGTGGGCAGAAGCCCCATAAGCATACAGCATGTCACAGAGCAGACAGGGCAAAAGATGCAGCCCAGGTGGGCTCCATCCTTCAGAAAGCGGTCCCTGGGGTGGAGGTGGAGGGGTGCTCAGAGCCAGAAGCACAGATGGCAGTGAGTCAGGGAGCCTGGGGAGAGTCCCACTATGAGGGGATTGCCAGAGACAGGAAATGCATTCTTAGCAATAATTGCTATTCAAAGGTACATGGGCTGGCCTCCGGAGGTGCTGAGCTCCCCAGCCCTGGAGGTCTGCAAGCTGAAGCTGGATGATCGCTTGTCCAGAATGTTGTCCAGGGGACTCTTGCTCAGGGCTGACATGAATGAGGACTTGGAGGTTCTGGGATTTCCATCGTTGCTGAGGCAAGACCTATTGGCACCTTGGCCATAGATGGCAGGGGTCCTCCTGGTCAGCTGGGAGTGGGAGAGTTTGCTCAGAGACAAGAAGGCCTCTGTGGGTATCCTGCCCACAGATCAGCATCAGACAGGGTTTCCACTTCCAGACACCAAGGATCAATGGAGAATGAGTCAAGAGCTCCAGGGACACCTGAAGAGGG